AATAATTTTCCTTCCACTTTACAGCCAAAGGCTTTTTTGTGGTGGTCTATAAAACAAAAGCAATCCCCTAAAATACATAAAGCTACAAAAAGCAATAAAATCTAAAAAAAACAAAAAACAAACAAGTTATTTCAATACATGAAACTGAATCCACATGTAGCAGAAATACTTCAAAAACAGCCATTTAAAAAGCTTTCATAATAGCAGTAAAATAGGATTGAAAAATCCTCATTCTGGGGGACATTTACTCATCTCTTCCAGCCTTTCAATGATTTATTTGTAAATTTTGTGTCGGCGGCACTCTCTCTAAGGTGCAGAATTATACCCTCAGCAGGGAATCAAACCTCCAATTTGGTATTCATCAACACTCAATGCCAGCAGCAATTAGGGATCTAATGGCTCCTGGGCCGAGAGCTCCCAAACCATGGAGCGCTCTGGGCGGAGACAGTCAACACGCTAAAGTGCTGCAGTTTGGTTGAACATACTAGGTAAGATGACGCCATTATCTGAACTATATGTTTCTGCCCAGCTTACGCAAGGACAAAAAGCCTTTTCACAATGAGCCATATGGTTTTCTTGTCACAGGAGATGACACGAGTATCACAAGTATTAACCACAAATGCTCCATTTACTAAAAGCAAGACCATCTAGATGTTGACAGTAATTTCTAATTCTCTCCAGCTAAAGAAGAGCAATGTGCTGTTTGTGGGCTATCAGTTACCAGTGAGGGGGTGCCAACCTGCTTATTACCAAATAGGATGACAATTTAATGAATACTTTTCTTTGGTGTCTGTAACACTCTGAAAAATGGTGCCTTCTGCCCATAGCTCTCACACCCACTTAAACATTTGATCAGAACGCAGAACCAACCATTAACTCGCTGTTTTCTATGTGATGTAACACCCACCTGACTGCTACCCCTTTGTTTGGCCGCGGAATTATCATGTCAGTGGATTTTTCGGCCTCTGTGTGTCTAAGATCTGTGTTGTAATGTTATTTCAGTTGAAACTGAGAAAGTCTTTGTTGGTCAATGCGGAAGGGATTTATGAATTTAAGCAAGACAAGTTGTTTTGGGCAACATTCCAGCTCCAGAAATCATCGTGCAAGTTTAAATTCCATGCAGGGTACAAACAAATAGACAAATTTAACAGTTAATAGATGATTTGAATTTGATATGGCTTAAACATTACCAGGAATATGGCATGAAAAAAAGGATGCAATTCACTCTAAATAAAATCTAACAACAAAAGGGTGCCCCCTACTGACAAAACAGGAGCAGAAAGGCAAAACAAAAGAACTAAGCACACATCAGTCAGTTTACATTAATATGTAGAGGTTATAAGCACAAATCTATGAATGTGAATTTAATAAATGATTTGTAGATCTACAGCTGCTGTTCTCAGTCATTGTGTCCTGCTCTGTGATCTGTGTCTCTGCGCCACAGAGATAGGGAAGTGACCTTTTTTTGTAGAAATCTCTGTGTGACTGATGGAGCACAGGGAGTAGCACTGCAGGTGGGGCCGTCAGAACCCATTTAAATCTCTGCCAGCGCCAGCATGCCAAATCAATACCCCCAACCCTGAAAAGTAAGCCTTGTATCCATGCAGCATTCAGAGTCTGCGATCTGGATGCAGACTGTCCGATCGCTGATACATCATGTGTGCACTGAGGGGCTCCAAAGTAACAGGCTACTTTTCCCCTCCATGCACCGTCTCACCGCCACCTCTTTCTTTGCCACTTCTTAGATTTGGAGTAAAGCCCCTGATGTTCTCCCAGTGTGTGGCAACATTTAAAGAGGTCTTGGGTTTGAAGGGGGTTTCATGACTCGCATTTAAATTTAGCTTTTAAAGGTAAAAGAAAGCACTCTTTAAAGAACAGATTTTAAGAAGCAGGTTTTCTTTTCCCTCCCGGCAGCCTTAGAAAAGTTTTTTTTAAGCTTGCATGCATCATGCTTCAAAATGGTATTTGAATACTAACACATAATAGAGCGGAAAAGCTCTGAAAACCTTGGGTACATATCTGCTCTGCATGAGGCGAGAGATGAAGTTTCTTTAGCAAGTGTTTTTGTTAAAGGAAAGAAACATAAGAAACTAGAAAAGCACTTGAAGAGCGCAGACCTCCACCAAGCAGCAGATGTTGCCCCATATTGTGACTTCCACCTATTGCTAAAACTCGATCTGGATCATAATCAAATTTTAATAATTGTTCCTTGGCATAAGGCACACCTTTGGCGAGAATTTCCTTCAAATCCTTTCAAAGCCTCTAAATAAGGCACAGTGTGTGCCTGCAGCCTCTGGTGTTTGTTCTGCTCTCACCTTCTTCATTCATGATCAGAAGATCCAGACTTCTTGAGAGGCATGGTATAATATGTCTGAACTTTTTTGAATCCGATGACAAAGCTGTCAATATTCACTGCAGCCCCCCTATGGTTTAGGGGAATCTTCTTGTTCCGCCAAATGTTAAAGAATCCTTTAAAGAAATTGCTGTATCCGGATCATGATGTAGATCATTAAAAAAATGTTTTGTTTTTTTTCCTTGGACTGAGGTGCACCTTTGTTAAAAATTTTTTTTTTAATTAATTAATAACTTTTCAACACGCAGACACAAACTCATCTAAAACATAACGTCCTTGGCAGAGGTATGCAGTACCAAGATTTAAACATACAAACCATACATTAATGTATCGACTTAAATAAAAAAGAGAAAGAGTGTGAAAAACTGTAATGCCAATATCATGCTGTCTACCGAACATTGATAAAAGAGAAAATGCAAAGACATGCATGGTAATTCTGGATAAACAGCAGAGATCCACAAATCAGGTGGAAGAATCTGTTGACAGGAAAATCGCTACTTGCTTATATCTGTCAGGTGTTTATGTAAAATGCAAAAATTAATGTGTTTTCTTGTTGCCACAAGCCATGCAACTGTCAGAGTACCGTAAACATGAGACAGATAAGACCAAATCCAGTTGCCTAAACTGAACTTTTCAAGCTTGACCATGACCTCCATGACAGAGAATCTTCACAGATATCTTAACTTTTCATTCTTAACCTTATTTGGTTAACTTCAACTGCAGGCCAACAGTGAACTACTAAGCCTACCTTAAAACATGGTAGTTGTCGGGCGTGGGGGAGTTAATGCTTTCACATTTGGGGGGGGTATTGGCAAAGAAGTCATGATTCGATTCAAATCACGATTCACATGCCATGATGCGATTCTATCACGATGCATCACGATACTTGAAATATTGCGATGCATTGCAATATTTTCACTGAACACTGTAAGAAAAAGATACAGCCATTACCAGTGGCTGACTGGCTGTGTGTGATCTGGATAGTGTCGTCAATTGATACATAACTGAAAGCAACTAAATTCATACATAGCTGTATTTATTGAAACGACTTTTGGAGGTGTTGCCATGAAAACAAATACTGGACAGAAATATTACTATTACTGGCGTGGACACACTGACAAAAAGATCTTAGGATTCATCAAGCTTAATAGCAAAATAAGGATAATCAGTGCCGTTTACATGGCCTCAGTGGTCCTTTAAACCAATGAAATGAAAACATTCAAATGTATGACATTTCCCCTTTTGCAAATTACGTGCGTCATATCAATTTCGTCTTTACCTTCTTTGTTTTTAAAGCCAAAATGCATCCAAGCATCTGACTTGAAATGTGATGGAACAGCGGGGCGAATTTTCATAGTGTCCTCCATGTTTTATTTCATATGAATCGTCACAGTATACCACGGCCGGAAATGCTTATGACACAAGGCAGCGAGCGTCAACACATCCGCAGCGACATCTGCTGGACTGGAAGTTGTATTTCACTTGGTTTGGCTGATGTGCGCCAACCATTCATGTATTTTATTTGTTAATTTTTTTTTTTTAGAATCGATTCTTGCCTTCAAGAATCGATGCAGTAGATCACAAAAATTAGCACCGCGATGCATTGTCATGACGATTATTTTGCACACCCTTATTTCACATCCCACCATTCTCGCAGTATAAGCAGTTTTTAATATCAATTTTATTAGAGCGAAAGTGTTCAGATCCGTCTGACACAGGTGTAGCTACCATTCACCCTGCACCCCCCTGCAGCTGACAGCTCAACAGGTTGTATGATGGCTATAGCTTTATGGGAATGCTTCAACAAATGCTTGAGGGAAGAATTTTGCCCTACGTGCAACATGGGGAACATTTTGTTGGAGCGTAACCCATTGCTATTTGCAAAATCCAAAGTAAACTTTCTGCCATCTTGTAATGAGGAATCTACATTTAGCATCAGGCATTAGTAAAGCAAACACTTTCACTGTAAGTCACTGGTGACCGCTGGTGAAAAGTTGTCGACCAGAGCATGTTGGAGTTGTAGGACTGTGTACTTGATTAGTTTTAAGTGAAAGTACTGGTTTCCCCCTTAGCTGCTAATTGTTGTACATACATACTTTGTGTTACATTATATAAATAAGAGATGGCCGCTGTTGCATAGTATACCCTGATTTTTCTTAGTTACTGAGTCTGTGTAAACACATCCTAAAGTTCATAGATGTTCTCCATACAATATGTCTGAGTTTGAGCTCTTTTCAAAATAAAATAAGTCAAAATGTCTGTTGATGGAGAAATCTGCTAGAGACGTACCTCAAAAGACATGCAGCTACTACAAAGGGTGGTTCAACAGAGTATGGACTTAGGAGGATACAATTGTATGTAAAATGTTGAAAGCAATGATCCACTTTCTCTTCAATATTATGTTCTTTTTTATGCTCCAAGTAAAGAAATCCAGATGACAAGGTTCTGATTGTGAGAAAACATGAAAAGTTGAAAGAATATGAATACTTTAACAGCTGCTTTGAGGTAGTATTATGTAGCACAAATGTTGCACTGGTTTTCTCATTAAATTTTTCTACTTAATGATGTTTATATAACATATAAAGTAGTACTGATGGAAAATAGTATTTTTCTTTTTTGTCAGGTAACCTGCAGCTCTGTGACTCACCATGCAAGGCCTCCCTCTCCTCCAGCTCCTGTCTGAGCTGCTGTCGCTGCTCCTTCATCCTGCTCAGCTCCTGGCTGCTCCCCGAGCTGAGGTTGTGCAGTCTCTTGGCCAGGGCCTCCAGCCGGTCCCGCTCCAGGTACACCGCCTTCATCTCAGCTTTCAACTCCTTGGCACAGCCAAAGTCATTACCTGAAAGGGCGCACCGTAGGAAGACATTACGCTTTCACCGACCATTAATGAGCTTTTTCATCATTAATGGTGTAATTAAGTGCAGCTAATGGCGAGCCATTCAAGTAAATGGGGTAAATAAAGGATGTTTAATGTAGCAGGGATGTTTTCAGGGTGAGGCTGAGTGGAAAGTTACCAGATATGGCCGCCAGTTTGGCTTCATGCAGAGTCAAAAGCTGTGTTTCGGTCTCACTGACTTTTCTCCTTAGGCTGCTGCCCAGTCTCTGACTCATGACCACCTGGGGATAAAACGGTGAAGATGATGGAAAGTAGTAAGTGGGGGGATGGTGCTAACTAGGAAAACCTTTGCAGGCACATGGATCCCACAGGACGCAATGCTCATTTCCTCTTCTGCTTCTATTTTCCTTATTTTTTGACACTCCTTCTTTTAAAGATTCTAAGGCTGTTTTTGAATCCTTCTGTGCTTGGAATACACAGCTGTGAATCAACACTGAATAAGTTACCTGTCCATAACCTTTAGAAAGAACAACCCAGGGTGCGACAGGGATATGAGAATCTCTATAAAAGATATGATTAGAAGGTCAGAGATAAAAAAAAAAAAAAAGAAGAGAAAAAGAGAGAAACCTGAATGTCAGTGGTTGATGGAGATGCAGAGCTGCAGCTCAGACCACAATCCACAGAGGATTCTGGCCTCCATCTGCTTTCACTCACTCCATCCATTAAACCTCTGTTTCTAAATGTGCTCACTTGGAGCTACATTCACACAGGGTGCTGTGAAAAAGCATTTACCCTCTTTACAAATTTCCAGTGATTTTGCTTTTCTTTAAGGCCTACATTTTTCAGACTGTAAAAGGATTGGAAACATATCAGATTCATAACCATGTTATTTGACAAGAGTGATTAAATACCAATGGACTTTTAAAGTCATCCCAAAATATCTCCATTGGAGGAAGTCTAGACTTTGACTAGGCCACTGAAATGCCTTAATTTCTTTAAGAGTAACCACCCCCCACATCTCTGTGCTTGTTGATATGATCTAAATGTTGGCCCGACTACATTAAGTTTATGCTGTTGCTTGCACAGTTCCTCTTCCTTTTTTACTGTAAACCAATATTGCTGTTTTTTTCAAGCACTGTTAGAGGGGAACTTTTTGAGTTCCAGTTACCAGACCTTGATGCACACTTAAAGTAATTTAATCTGAGTATGCCTTTTCAAAACAGCAGTTTTTCTTTTTTGTGTAATCTATTTTATCCTTAACTGTACAATATAAATTTTATCTTTTTATGATTCCTGTATTTGATTAAAATATTTTTTTTCAGTGATGATTTCACCTGAATATTTCTGTTTGCCTTTTAAAATTTGCCATTGAAACATTTGAATTTCCCCACAGAAAAACATTAAAGGACATTTCTATTTACCCTTTATTTTACTAACCAGGTGAACATTATAAACCGGTGGTTGGATTATCTTTTAAAGGATATTCTAGAAGAAAATGGATTCACCTATTACAGAAAAGCTTTGGCTGCCATTTTCTTTTTCTTAATATTAATTTTATGCCACATGTAAACGGATATACACCTTCTAAAACTTTCACTTTTGTCTTGTTAGTCCAAAGAATACTTTTTCATAAGGATGGTGTTTGTTTGTTTTGTTTGTCTGTTTGTTTGTTTTTTGTGGTTTCTATTGCTTTTGACTGTTGTTTCTCTTATTGTTGAATGGTGAGCTCATCCCATTACTCAGGCAATTGAGGCTTGCAGTGCTTTCCATGTTGTTATTGGTTCTTTTAAACCTCCTAGATCCCTGGTTAATGCATTCCTTACCTGAGTAGACCATAACTCTTAGAACTATTCACCACTATTCAAAGTTTTTTCTATTTGAGGATAATGCCTCTAACTCTGGCTAATGGGGTTATAACCCTTTCCAGAAGCTTAGGTGTCAAGTAACTTTGACTCTTGGGTTTGCTTTCATCACAGCATGATGTGTTGACTTCTAAGATCTTTTAGCCAATATCAAGTTGTCAGACAGGCCTGATCCTTAATCCTGCAGGACTGTGTTGCAGGTGAAATTCAAACATGATTAATCAAAGTTAATCAATATTTACCAACATGGACAATCTCAATCTCATTGAGTGAGTAAATACAGTTTTCAATAGATGGTTTCATTTTGCATTCAAACAAAGACATCGACTAAAATCTGCACTCATTCATAATCTAAAACAATGGAGGACTTTGACATAATTAGATATAAATGCATAAACAATTGAATGCTTAAGAAATACATAAGCATACAATCAAATAGTCAAAAAAAAACACATCACAGAAATAAATGGAGTAATTCAATGTCAAAATATATCTTATCTTAGCTGATTTATTCATGTATTTATTTACCTCTATAATGCATACCTTATTTATCTACTATTGGTAAAAATTTTCAGCTTTATTATTTAATTACTTGTTTTTTTCTTCTGTTTTTTGTTTTTCTGTGTACGCATTTGATTTTTTGTCTTTCTTAACTCTGTTTATTTCTTCCACCCCTTTTTATTTATGCCTGTCTGTTTCCATTTCTTTATGCATTTCTGTTTCATTTTGCACATGAAGAGGAGTGGTCTTAAAGGGGAAGCTTCTTCCGACTGGTTGGTTAGACCACAGAGAATGCTACCAGGAAGCCACAGTCAAAACAGAGAATAAACCCTTCTCTTCTAAGAAATGTTAAACACTAAAAATGATTTTATGATTCTTTTCCTTTTTTAATATGACACAGTTTCCTGAGAGGATGTCATACAGATTGGCATTTCAAAGGTACAACATCTCCAGGGAGTTTTCCTCACACAGAAATCCAGCAAAACTGGCTTGAATAATTTAATTTCACACAGTGCACAAACTGGAAAGAACTTTAGTGAGTCTTTCAAACTGCAGAAATTCTAACACTTGTGATTTAATTTCCAGAAAAACGCCACTCTTTGCCATTTTTTTTTGTTCCAAAAAGTCAACAGAGAGAAGCAAGAGTTACTTTCATGGCTGCAATCGTTTTGTCACAGCAGGTGAGTCGTTTTCCACATGATGGATATTTCATTTAAGAAGCAAACTTTTCATTTCCAACATAACAATGGTAACCGTGGACGAAGTGTCTCTTTGTGACTAGATTCTACGTGTCTTTGAAGTGCAGCTGCAGCAACAAGCAGCGATTTGATGATGGGTTTCTGAAGGACAGTGTGACGGGAGAGAAACGCTCCATACTGAGGACTGTGACACCCGCTGTTCTTTTCCCGTCCTCAAATCACTACTTGTTACAGGTCTATGCTGCCTTTAGCTCTTTTTTTTTTTTCGGTTACAGAGATTTGTGTATGTGTAAGCCCAACCCCCCAGGGAGCAGGAGCAAAGACCAAACAGGCAGCTCAGAGGGGAGAAGATAGGAGGGCTTTTATCCCTGAAATACTCAAGTCACACAAAAGCTTTCCATTCTGACCAGATTTCTAACTTTGCCTTTTTCTTATTATCATTTCCTGTAACTTTACTTTTCACAATCCTGTTTTCTTTTTCAGAAACTGTAAATCAAGGAAGAGTTTATTCAAAATGGCATATCCCGCTGCTTCTGAACAACTGAAGAGATCACTGCCTTGTCAGATAAAGAAAAAACAGACTGACATTTACTACACATTTTGAGCACTCTGACATTGACACATGACAGATCCTGTCTATTTTAACTCACAATTCATTAGGATTTCATTCACATTCAGTCTCTGCCGGCAAATTCAGAGAAGGCAGCGTGAGTTTAAAGAGAGAAATCAGATGTGGTGAGCAGCGGCTTACCTTCGCTGTAGCTTCCTTTATTGAAAGGTTTAGTGCCTGCTCCTGTTCTTGGAGTCTGCAAAAAAATCCAATTGATAAAAATAATTATTTTCTTTCAAACAAGAAAAAAGTCAACAGTCAGTCCAACAACACAATCCTTTATTTTAAAAAACATTTAAATTTGTTTCTAAATGTACATTTTTGTTCGAAAACGTGTGCAAAAAGCTTCACATTTCTGATTAGGATATACTTTTAGGTTTGTTAAAAACGTTTTGGTATTCTAATAAGATCTCTTTTAAAGAGAAACAGTCCCGCAGCATGACAGGTCCTCCACTGTATCCAACAACAGGTATAAGGAACTTGTTCTTCCTTTTGCTCATAATAAAGCTCAACTACAGTCTGATGAACCAAGAACAGCATGGTTTCAGTTAAAATTAGACCTGAACGCAGCGCTGTCAGCTAAGACCCATCAGTTGGCTGTTTGAACACACCTTAGATGTCAGAGGTTGTGCTGAGACAGGACGGATAACAGGACTTTTAGAAGTGTCAACAGGTACTGTGCTTTTAAGCATCAGCTGGTGCAAAGAAAAAAGAAAAATGGCTGAATTTTCACGTCTTAACAGTGACTCCAAAAACGTTTTTGGAATGACTATGACCTGGATGAATGAGAATCTTCACCATGATCTTAACAAGTGAGTTATTGTTAAAAAGTTAGCGAAATAAAGTTTGTCAAAGATTTAAATGATTTTAACTGGTATCCAAGATGAAGAGACAGCTAAGTTTAGGCAAACAGCTGTTTTCTGCAGCCATTTTCTAACTCAAAATGTTCAACACGAATTTATCCTTCCAATCTGTGAGGAGTGACTAAAATAAACGATCTTCTGTTCCTCGTAATATTTTCCAGGGAATCAGGAAGTCCCAGATTTCTAATTAAAAGTTATCAGTTTATATCTGGAATTTAAAATTACACGTTGCACTTTCTATTTCTGTGTGTGTCAGAGATAATGTGACTGCAACAAAACATGCGTTTATTTATTTATATACAGGGCAGCCAATAGGTGTGGAGGACAAAGTCTGCTGTTTTCATTAGCAGGTCCATTAAAACTGAGTGTTTACATGATTTCGTCAAATCTAAAGTGTAAAGGTCATATCTGTGAAATCATTGCTGCATATGTCTATAAACATGCAAACAGCACAAACCTGCAAGGTCACATTGTATGAGGACAGAGATATAAATTAATTAGAAGATGGGAAAATGGAGCATAAAATCCATTAAGCAAAACATAGTCACCTTGAGAAAGTCCCAGTTCTCTCATATCACAAAGATCATTGGTGCCCTTTACAAGTTATTCAAGCTGATGTTCTAAACTGAGCCCGTCTGAAATGATCACAGACAACCACCTTTTCTGTAGAGATAATCTAATCTGCTGCCATTAGGGGGAAAATACATCGACATGACAAAGAAGAGCAGAGTTAGTCGGACAGAGAGATGACCGCAGCGGGAGGGAAGGCTGTCCAATCAGGATCCACCATTCTAATCTACAGCAGCATGTAAATGTGTAGTATTGGAGGAGATGATGTGTCAGGTATCAAATTATTGCTCTGATGGTGGGTCACATCAGCAAAACACAATAAGTACAATTTACATGTCTTTCTAACGAGTGTCAAGACAGAGGGGCTTTCTGCAGGGCTGGCTCACAAGCTATTAACTTCTAAGGATGAGATGCAAAGTAATCATTAGCATCTGAGAAAAACCATTAAAATTCAAAGCAGGGGCAAGCAGGTGTGAGAGAAGAGGGCTGGAGGCACAGGGGACGCTTAGGAGGAAAAAAATACTAGAGTACTCAGCGCTTCGTAATGCATTCTAACTGAACATGAAATATTATTCTGCAGGTCTGATCTGTTGCTGTGTTATTTTGTTTTATCAGTTAGACATCAAAACATGCATGTTCAACCCAAAATATAACAGCAAAATTAGCGTTTATTTTCATTTTAGTAGAGAAAGTTAGGAAAGGTTTTGGTCTTTCCCATTTGGTTTGATGTCATTATTGGATTTTCACAATAATCACAGTATGACTCAGTTTTTTAAGAAAAAAAAACAACAACCTTGCAGTAAAATCTGTTCTGTTAGAGGATGTAACCCAGGAAAAAAATAAAAAACATCCCCTATGAGTGAGCTATGAGAAACCTTGTAAGACAACAAAGGGAAAGGTTTGTATGGATAAGTGGTTGATGGGATTTTTACAGCTCTCTGGCATTCCCAGCTGGGGACTAAAGGTACTACAGTTACACCTGCAGGATTAAAGGGGCTGCATCTGATAACAATAGTTTAGCTCGGCAAGAGCCATTCAAAAGCTCTGCTTGTATTTGTATCGTTAAAACACTTAACAGTACATCATTTTATTGTTAACCTTTTAACTCTTCACTATTATGTTATTTTTATACATTTTATAAGGTCCATATTTGTCTGACCATTTTTTTCTATAATTGTTTTGCTGCTGCAAACACCAGAATTAAAGGGATTTTCTATTCTATTCTATTCTTCATTAAGTTATAGTCATAGAATGTATTATAAATACTATTTCATGTTTCATCCATCTACAAGTATATTTCCAATGAATGTGATATGGATATAAACAAAGCTCTGGGAATTTATTTAACAGCTGTCAGCTCAGAGATTAACTTAATTCTGAGACTATCTGAGACTTTATCATTAGCAAACATCAGCTTGCTAATATTAAGAAAAGATGTTACAACATTTACATTTCCCTGACCCTGTAACAACATTCCCTCAAATAATCAAGGGGTAATATCCATTTCCAGCTGATCTGACAACACTGCATGGCATTTAGAAGTATATTCACTTCCTGGCAGTGATGGGAGTAACGGCGTTGAAAGTAACGGCGTTACTAACGCCGCTACCTTTTTTAGTAACGAGTAATCAAAATTATTACTCTTACTGTAACTATAACGCAGTTACAATTGCCGACACCCCGTTACTGCATGTTACTCAGGTCGCACAATTAGAGCTGCGTTTCCCCATCAGATACGGTTTCCCCTGCATCTCCGCACATCGCGGCGACACGATTCACCGCGCAAGCGACAGGAAACGGGCATGCTCGCTAAAGGCGCGCCGCCCTGTGCTTCCGCCACAGTGGAACTACGGAGAGTGTAGAACGATCATTAGCCGATGGATGGATGGATGGATGGATGGATGGATGGATGGATGGATGGATGGATGGATGGATGGATGGATGGATGGATGGATGGA